ATAATAATAATAATAATAATAATAATAATAATAATAATATAACTTTATTTATTTCTTAAAAAACGCATTTCTAAAACTCAATGCTTTTTACAATAAAACGTGAAAATTATAAAAGCAGAAAAAGAAAGAAAAAACTAATGAAATATATATAATTCAATATAAATGCAAATAGCGCAAAACATGAATTTACATAAGTAGCATAATGCCATCTAGAGTAAAACTATATTATTGATAAACAAGTTTAAGTAATCATATGTCTTGAGCTTTGCTTTAAATATGTTGATGTTATGTGATAATTTCAAGTCAATATACAAATACGTTAATAAAGAGAGTTGTGTAAGTAGTGGTAATGCACTCTCCTCTTACCTCTGGGATATCGGGTTCCGTTTCATCGTATGCATTGACACGACGACAATGACAACGACGGCAACAACAACAACAATTTAATGCACCTTAAGGAATCTTATTCAACTTCAATGCAATGCGCGCCGGAATCAAAACAATCGCCATTTTCTCTCCCAGGCAAAATGGTAATTTTGTATAGGTGAAATTTGAAAATCTGTCTTGTTATTCCTTCTAGAACGATAAGAAGGATTAGCTTCGAGAACGATTAGACGAAATATGTAAACAATAATATAGGGGCGCAGTGCATTGTGGTTGACTAAGATTAGCCATGCCCTGACTTTAATAAGCTTAGAGGTTGTTTCAGGGTTCAATCTGTGAGTTAGCCATGCCCTGACTTTAATAAGCTTAGAGGTTGTTTCAGGGTTCGATCTGTGAGTTAGCCGTGCCCTGACTTAGATCAGCCCAGAGGTTGTTTCAGGGTTCGATCTGGGAGTTAGCCATGCCCTGACTTACATCAAACCAGAGGTTGTTTCAGGGTTTGATCTGTGAGATAATTATGCACCTTATCTTAAAGAACAAATAGTTTTTTTTGAGACTTCAATTCGTCAAATGTAAATGTTGAAAACAATTAAGCATATTATACTAATTATTGACGTTGTTTGTGATAAATTATTCAGAATTTCAATAGAAAACCCGAATAAATATGGTGAACTTCAGACAATCGATAGCTTGTTTCTTAATATCTGTTTCGTTTCTAACATTTGCATATAGGCTAAAATAAGGCCATTRCGTATCTCAAAGGGTATATCATATATTGAAGCAGCGCAAAATTGAAATATTAGCTAGAAGTTGCTATGTTTGAAATAGTCAGATCAACTCGGTTGGGTTGTCCTAGGAGGTGAGAAAGACAAAGACAACAGACATTATGGACGGTTATGAAAATAGAATATTATAAATATTTAATTGAGTTAATGTGTTTGCTAAGGCAGAAAACAACCCAACGAATATACTCTATTTACAATATTCAGTTTTAAAAGTTCTAAAAGTTCTAAGATAAATAAAAACAAAGAATAAAATAAATAAATAAAATAAATTCTTAATAAGCTGCCAAGCGTCTAACGAGGTCAAACAAATATTGGGGGGAAAAAGCAGAAGAGGAAGAACAAAACAAAGATAAATAATAACGCTTAATTTTGAGAGAAGTGCATCAAAATATTTTGGTGATGAGGCTAAAAAAGTTATATTAATAAGAAGAGTTTTAGAAGTTCTCATAAGTAAAAAATTAAACTTATAGGAACGTTAACCTCACCTTTTACTTTAAGAAAAAAGAAAGCCATGTTGAAGAATAAAAGAGAATTAGCCATTGTTTTAGTGTGAATGTGGAACAAGCACTGAAAGCATAAGCCGAGCTGAGTATTAATACCTAAAGTTAAGATAATAAATAATTAATATTTGCACTACTAAAATGACATAACAAAGCATAATTGTTTTTTTTTTCCAATAGAGGAAACGTATTTTATTTTCGAGAGAGAGAGAGAGAGAGAGAGAGAGAGAGAGAGAGAGAGAGAGAGAGAGANAGAGAGAGAGAGAGAGAGAGAGAGAGAGAGAAAGAGGTTTGTTATTGAAAAATATAAATACGTTGGTACAATTTTAGACTTTTGGAATGTAGAATTTTGCTCGCTGTGATAGGTCGATTAATCACAGAAAGTGAAACGATATGATCGAGCGGTGGTTTTCTAAAGTTATGCTAAAAAAAATTATTCCCCTCAGGCTCAGTGATTATCGGTGGAATATTTACCGAGTCCCGAGTCTTCGAGCAAATATTCCACCACTGAGCCTCTTAAATAATTAAGAGTGGCAATCCTATAGAGTGGCTCTCCTCAATCTCATGAATTCCGATTGAAAATTAGAAGAGTTTTTATGGGGGGGAAGGCAAATTTTAGAACCACCAAAGAGAAAAACCATCGAATGCCAGGAGAGAATCAACAAGCAACTCTGACTTACTTATGACACCAMATCAGGGAATTTTGGCCTTTGAAAGGCTAGCTCTCTCACCAATACGCCACCCATGCTCTTATTTGTTCAAACCTTGAAAGGACAAAGACATGCTCGATCAAAACAGCGAAGGAGTTATCATCCCACAAGACTCGAAATCATCTCTTTTTTTTCTTATATCAATATATATATTTTTAATTTCAAGTTATGATTTGTCCATTCGAAAATAATGATGATGTTGATGCATGGTTTTCTTATATCATGTGATATGAAATTGTCAATTGCATGAGGTCTCCCTATTATTGGATGTTGAATTTGACTTTCAAACTAATATCCTAAAACATGGAAAAATTTTTTTAAAAATCAGTTCTTGAAACATTAGGCTATTTATTCCTTTATTATTATTGTATTTTTTTCCATATTGTTATTATGAATACAGTATCTTATTTGTCTTACAAAAGTATTGGGGGTTTTATTGGATGGAAACCAATCCATGAAGTGTTTTCCATGACGGATGCCGAGGGGGGAAAAATCGCCCACTTCAAGTTACAAACATCTACATCTAGCTTCGAAAGCTACATCTAATTTATATATATATATATATATATTCATGTATACACGATCATTTGTCAACCGGAAAGCTGCTCGCTGAACAAAAGAAACGAACTCATTTCTTCGTGTAGGCATACATAGAAAAAAAGCATTGTTGCGTAAAAAATGAACGTACTTACATAATATATGTAAATAGCTATATAAAGTGAATGTTTTGTAAAATTCAAACATTAAAATCTGCTGACGAGTGAGTCTGACTCACGCAAACAGTTCTGTAGAGAACGAATTATGGTCGTGTAATTTCTTCACTTTACACATATATACACCTACTTGCAAGAACGTTGTCATACGATATTAGAACGTTAGTAATTTAGTAATTTTAATGCTGCTCGAAACTTGTGACGAAATTTTGTTGAATTAGAGTAACTCTACTTATTAGTGTTCACGAAAATGTCAGTTTTTCTTGCTGATCAAAATATCACCTCTCCCAAAGTACACGGCTTTATATCTCAAATACGCATTCAATAAATTATGGTCGCATTTGATATTTTGCTATTTGGCTCTAAAATAATGTGTTTACAAAAGCAAAAACCGCTTTTTCTGCCATGTCTATATATACTAGCCCCTCATACATGTGAAAGCGCTTGTGCATCTGCCGGAATGCCAGTCCAGAATAATAGTTCTACAAACTGTACATGTTTCGTCATTTTTGGATACGATGCCTGTATACACTGAACACTCAATGTAGATTAATTTCCTTTGGAGGGGCGCGAAGTATAATTGAATAATTTTTACAAAGAGTATAAATTAATAATGTTTCCCAAATGCCGGCGCACTTAGAGACATCTTTATCTGTTATCGTGATAAGTACGGTAATATATATACGAATAATTGTTATTTAGATTTGAATTTTTGCATAAACATTAATATTGTTTTCAATACAAGTAAATTTTAAAGTGCAGCTAGTTTCTCTTTATGCTTTCATAGAGCATTAATCCCTGAGAGCAGCTAGATTTCAATAGTTTTTGTCGGATACAAACCTAATAATTACTGGCAGCTTCAGAACAAAAAAAGGCATTGTTCAAACACTGTAGTTTAAGTACGGTTCAATATTACTGAAAAACATCTAGTCATTTCCTAGTTCCATTTGTTGTTTTAGTATTAGTGTTGTTCGTAGCATCAGTCTGACGTCCTTTTAGCGTAGGATAAACAATATAGGCCACAATACAACACAGACATATTTCTATAGTACGGCTTGCTGTCTGATAAGACCACCATGGCCAGGGTTTTACAAACTTCTCGTCCAAAGAATACAGTTTATAAACTCCAAAAAGGGAGTAGAACTCTAAGACAACAGAAATGAGCCCAGCGATTGCAACTGCACAAGAAATCCTAACTATCTTACGAGCTCCTTTGCTTTTTTCAACATTTTGTGATTCGGGATCACTTCGACTTGGCTTTCCTGTTTTCACGACGTCAGAAAGCTCATAAGTTTTAGAATCGCTGTTGAAGTATTTGATTTTGAGCTTTTGGTCCCAAAACACAAGCCCTGCGCAATAAAGAAAGCAAGTAACGAGAGCCAACCACCAAAGGATAAGAATTGACTGACAAATGATAAACAAGTTTGCCAACGGAGGAGAAAAAGTCACTGTAAGATAGATTATCAACACCAATAGAAAATGTCCAACTATTACCACGGATAGGAACTTTATATTTTGAAGTTTTTTCAATATGCCTTTCAAGCTGTTGACTTCTACGAAGGCAAAGTTTATGAGAGAGAACACTGATGTTAGACATGGGTAGCCAAGAGCGAAGATGACGCGAACGACAACAACTGGCAGCACGAGGTATTTGTGTCCTTCATATGGATCTAGTAATAGATATAATGCCCTTGATGTAGTAAAAACCAACAGCAAACCACTCACAGCAGCAAAATATCGTCCTAAAGTTAGCTTCTGGAGACTTCTGAGTCTAACAAGACAAAACAGAGAAAATAATGCCAGAATCACAAAGGCACATCCAAAGCCAAAGTTATGAATCTCCCACCACGAATTCCACTCTTTAAATGCTGTTTCCCACTCAGGTAAAGGTTCTGGATTTGGCTCTGGGGTAGCTTCTTTTTCAGGCTCCGCTGTAGCCATACTTAAATTAATATATATATTAATTCTCTCCAACTTGTTACCGAAGTCTTTGAGCCTTCCTTGGTTTTCTGCTCGACTTTCACGGATGACTCGCTCGATTAAGATTCAAGGCACTTTAGCCGGAAACCCCTGGTKTGATAAAGTACCTTATAATTACTCTCTATGCCTAATTTTCTATGGAAACTATTATCGCATTCATCTAATTAAGTTGTCATGTCTAAATATATAATAAAATAATAATAATAATAATAACATGTAATAATAATATACAAGAATAATAATAATAATATATGAATAATAATAATAATCATAATAATATAATAATAATAATAATATACAATATATAAATATAAAAGTAGTTTATCTTTTTTTTTTTTATTTTTTAATGCAGTATTTAATTCGAGCTTTCCAAAGTAGTTCTTTCACGACAACAGACCGAGTAAAAACAAGCGATGAACCAGGCTAATTCTAAGACAATTAATCAATGTCAAGTTTTCCTCGTTAGCGCATAATTAACTCGTAGTATTATAACTGGCGTTGGAACAGAAGAAGAGATAATAAAATACAAAAATAAAATCTTTGGTGCAAATGGTTAGCGCTAACCATGTGTCCCAAGAAGTATAAAATAACATTAATTAGGAAATTCCACTATTGCCTAGCCTATTTTACGTGCTTTCCT